TCATAACGTAGCATCAGGTCGGCTCAGACCAGGGTCCGACAACAACACAGCTATGCTCCATTGACTCTAATGCAGTCGTTTCATGCTGGTTTTGTGGATTTGGAACTAAATGTTGTACCTGGGGCATGTTGTGTATTAATGATACTTGTTACCTGGAGAGGTTGGAAAAAGATATATGTTTCTTCCCTGTTCCAAAACCAAAATCAAACCCTGAAAAGTTTAGGGTTAGCTAGCTAGCTACTGAAGATATAGCTTACTGAATGTATACACATGCTGCTTTTGCTTTTTATTGATTATAACAGTGAAACAAAGACTGACCCTGCTGTACAGGAACCAGTTAAGGGAAGCAGGGAAACTTTGCTGATATTCAACCAGCTCTGTGTCATCACAGTGTGCGCAGATGAACGTTGTTTGACTTCCCCCGGAGATCCCTGCCTGTCTGCTGATGAGGTTCTGGGTGCTGGCAGCAACACGGGGGCGAAGTCAAACACAGTTCATCTGCACACACTGTGATGCCCCACAGCTGGTTCAATATCAGCAAAGTTTCCCTTTATATTCATTGTCTTCTGTGGCGATCAGCAGTGATGTGGTGGTTCACTTTTACACTGTGATCTGTAGCCTGTAGTTCGGCTTTAGCTTCTAACTATCTTTGTCTTTTTAACCTGTTGTTGCTGCTGAGTCAGTTTGACATCCTGGATATATCCTTCAAACACAGACTGTAGACCCCTCTGTCTGCTTCTCTCTGGAATCACTGTTTCATTTCTCCGGAAATATGATAATATTTCTTCAGGTAGTTACAGTGGGGGCTCCATGCGTACTCTGACAGCTTGACAAACCATCACAAAGGGGTGGGGCTTAGCAAAAGGTCAATGCCTTCATAGTATACCTAATTATTTAAATGCAGATGTGGTCACCTTTTTACCTGTTGAAGTCTATCATTACCTCACCAGTCACATCTGAAACAAATATAAAACATGAATGAAAGAAGATTTGACTCTTGGGAATGCACATCTGTTTACTGTAGATATAGTCCTGACTGTTTTAAAACATTCCCCTGGTTTGATTCAGATTCAGCAGCTCATAAATAGATAAAAGTGAGATGCAGCTAACAGCTTCTGTTTTTGCTCCACAGCAACATAAAACTTAGATCTTTCCACAATGTGTTGACAGCGGAACTAGTGATACTGTAGTTAACACGCTGAACAACATGGCAGGATAACAGAAATACAAACTAACACTGCATATTGTGTTTCAAACTGTTTGATCACTTTGGGCCAAAACTGACGGCACGCCAAGGCCTGCAGACTCTCACGTCTACTATAGTATGCTGAAACTCACTGAATTAACTCAGGTTACTCTAAACAAACCCCTTCATATAATCTAGAGATCCTGAAATCAATGAGTCAATGAGATAAGTAAGCTTGTATAGGTCTGTTCTCTTAAATCCCTCCGTAGCTATTCATCAAGGTCACCGGAGGCGTCCTCGTCATGTTCCTCGCAGAGCAACAGTCCTGCTTTCCAGCCCATTATTTCATCTGCGATGCATGAAAATGTGCCTGAGAGGCGAGAGCAGGCTGTGAGCTCAGCGAGAGAGAGAAAGAAGTTACAGGAAGGGAGAAAAACTAAGAGAAATATGGGTTAGAAGTGGGAGGCGAGACTGAAGTTTTAAATTGAGACAGACAGGAGAGATGAAAAAAGCAAGAGGGAGGATGAGAGCACCGAGAACGAGGACAAGGTAACATGACAGAGCGGAAGAGCAACACTGATCTTCGAGATGAGAGCCCAAAGCGAGGAGAAAAAAGGCGAGGAGAGGTGTAGGTAGAAAGAAAGAGAGCGGGAGAGAGTTAAACGGCTGCAGCATATGACAGAAATTTCATCAGGGCCCCTTCAGGGCTTCTTATGTGACAAATTTTGTGTTAAGAAGCAGGGAGAGCGAGCATATGGTGGTATGTAATATTGATGGTGCACGAGTGCCCATCTCTCGACGTGGCATAACAGCCCTGCAGTGATTTTAAAACAGCATTTTAAACTCCACGCTGTTGCTCCTCAGTCTTGAGTTGGTTTAAGTCATTAAAGATTTAAAGACAAAAGCGAACAAGCGTTTCGTGCCCCAAAGTAACAGAAGGCAGAAATCCAGTAGAGAGGAAGAAATAGGGGACTGAGGGAGAAGGAAGATCAAGGAAAGACAGATATTTTGTTGTGTCTGTGTGTGTGTGTGTGTGTGTGTGTGTGTGTGTGTGTGTGTGTGTGTAGGTGTGTAGGAGGGTTGAAGCAAAATGGAAGTGAAGGAGAACAAAAGGGAGATGGATGGTCAGAGGGATCAAATGACAACACAGAGGTGAGAGCAAATAGCTGAGATGAATCAAAGAGAAAAAAGGCATGAAGAGACAGAGACAGAGGGAAGTGGGAGCTTTGTTGAGCCGGTGCTTTAACACACCCTTCATAGGTCAAGGGTCAATTCCCTGGAGTATGTGTATGTGTGTTTGGTGTGTGAATAGCTGTGTTTCCTCCTATAGATCTAGCTCTTCTAGAGATTTTGGCTGTCAGATAAGATTAAGACCAGAATTAAATAGTTGTCAGCTACAGTTGAGGAGATAACCACAGAGGAAGTCACTTCTATGACTCTTACGCCATGTTCACACAGGATACGGAAGCTGCTCGATATGTCACTTGTCGTTAGGGCACCTTTTAGCAGTCACCTGGCTGTTCACACCAGGAGCACATTCCTCCTCACCAATTAGCATTCTGCTCCTCTGCTCATTTCTAATCACGTGTAGATATTTGTCTCTGTTTGCTTATCTAATGTATCCTTCATCAGTCCTTTCAGGATTTTGTAGGCTGTTACTGGCGTTTGTTGCGGCCTGAAATGTCTGATTTCACTTCAGCTTTTCTACAAAATTGTGATCATCCATCCATTTCCATCGGCTTATCCAAGGCACGGTCGCTGGAGCAACAGGTCAAGCAAAGCACCCCAAACGCCCTTCTCCCCAGCAACTTTTTCCAGCTCCCCAAGGTGTTCCCAGGCCAGATGAGATATGTAATCCCTCCAGTGTGTTCTGGGTCTGCTCCGGGGCCTCCTACCAGTGGGACGTGCCCAGAACACCTCCAACAGAAGCGCCCAGGAGGCATCCTAGTCAGATGCCCGAACCACCTCAACTGACCCCTTACAACGCGAAGGAGCAGCGGCTCTACACCGAGCTCCCTCTGGATGTCCAAGCTCCTTACCCTATCTCTAAGGCTGAGCCCAGCCACCCCACAGAGAAAACACATTTCGGCCACTAGTATCTGTGGCCTCATTCTTTCAGTCCCTACCCAGAGCTCATGACCATAGGTGAGGGCTGGGACGTAGATGGACCAGTAAATCGAAAGCTTCTCTCTCGAGCGAGGGTAGAATTGAGCGAGAAATATTGGGATGCAAGTTGCAATGTTTATAGCTGTTTTTTTGTGGGCAAGTGACAGATGCAAAAATAGTTGTGATGCTGTCAGGGATTTAGAGCTTATCATCATGAGCATTCATCAATTCCCACAGAATTAGAATCTCTTTGTGATGGTGGGGGGCGGAGGGGCAGCAACAGCTGATAACCGCCAATAAGGTGTTGCTGCTGTTTGACGCAGTGCTGATGGACCGTAAGCAGCTCCCCTCCTGTCTGCTTAGCATGAGCTAACACAGCAAAAGGTGATCACATCATGACTCATCATATTTTGCTGCCAAGGCTGAAGCCCCACAGCAGCGGTCCCACACTGACATCGACTCTGTCTATAGCTGACGTTAGCTGTGTGATGCTAACAGTTAGCCCTGTCACTGTGCATGTGAGTCTGTCCCAGGCACAGAGCTCCTGTCCTGCAGCAGTAAGCTCATGATAAACAGAAAGAGGGGTGGGGGACTGAGCATATGAAACAAGATGTACCCGTTTGAAATTGAAAACTTATAATAGATCACCAGTGTATTTTCTCGCCAGATTTGCTCACGGCTCATAAAAAAAATAAACCAGACGCTGAAACTGTCGTTACAGATCGCAGGCCAGCCATGGAGCTCTGCACCTCAGTACGTACTGCATGTGTTTAACATGGATGCTGAAGGGATGCAGGCAGCTCTCCACCGAAAACTGCCATGCTTCGTGGCGCTTCTGCATCCAGTCTGAACTCGGCATTAGGCTGCTTTTCATTATGCTAACATTTCTCCTCACTTCCCTTACTTATGTCTCTTCCTTGTGTTTTAGCTCGTCCCAGCGAGATGTAAGGAAGAGACGTGTAGGAAACACTTGTATTTCCTAACTCTAACCTCCTCCAGAAGCCTCCTTGTTCCTCAAGGTGCATTTAAGGGGCTGCAAGATCCTTCATGATGGCGGAGGGGAAAAGATTTCGGGGTCACAGGAAGAGAGAGGATGTATGGAAGCACAGGTTGGCATAATTAAAAGTCACCCTTTCTCACATTGTGCTCGCTTCTACAGTGAATTAAATAGTAAAAAATAAACTACTCCCTTTTCCTTGGGGCCCCCCCTGGAACTCCCTCAAGGACCCCTGGGGGTCCCCGCCCCCCTGGTTGAGAACGACTGCAGTAGACATTGCATCTGAATGGTTCTTTGTTTGACTCTGTTTAGATTTGCAGCTGATACAAAACAGCCAGAGGGGAGTGTTTGCAGGTTTGATTTGTAGTTTGGTTTAAACTTCCACCTGTTTAAATTGTAAACATCAATCAAAAAAGAAAAAAAGATTGCAGGCAGCTTTGTAGCGCCAGAAACCCCGGTGACAAACTCTCTTTTTCAGCTTCAAAGCCTTTCTGAGGCGCTCATTGAACATGCATTGATTCTGCTGCCTGTTCTTCCTTCATCACCCTCCTGGGATTACTGAGCTTTAAGCCAGTGACTCACAGAGATGGAGTGAAAGCTCCTTATTGAGCCGCTCTGTCTCCTGCTACACTGATTTAGGATCAGATAACCTTATAAGAATCTTAATCGCCGCAATTAAGAACTCAGAAGTTGACTGGTTATTAAACATACCTTTCTGTGCGGGCGGAGAGGTGGGCAGCAGGGCGGCGAGGGCTCCTCTCTGTCTTCATCCTTCTTCTTAACTTGGCCGTCCTTCTTGAGTGTTCGGACATATGAGACTCTTCTTTTAAGGCTTCTGTCCTGGTCTTCTGTTGCCGGTTTGGTTCGGCTTTGTTGGCCCCTGTTCTGACTGGACTGGGTGGGACGTCCCAGGGGTGCAGGTGCTCCTCGCCAACCTGTTTCCAGGTACACATGAACGCACACACACACAGCTGTGAGCAGGACACCCAGACGCAGCAGCAGTCCCCGTGTGAGTCGCTCTTTGCCCATGTCCATCTGGTATACTTCTCAGTCCATGTCCTCAGCTAGAAGTTTGCCTCTATCCCATTCTTCCTCTCCTGCTTATTAAAGAGTTGTGCTTCTCCTCTCCTCTCTTCTCTCCGTTCCTCCAGGTCCAAAGTCCACCATCAGACCAACAGCACCAAGTTAATGAAACTCAAACATGTCAAGGACGCCTCTCCTCACCACTCATCGCACATGTGTGTTCCTGCATCATAGCTGTAATGATTTTCTGCATGCTCGCGTGTGTGTCATGAGCCTCTGCAGACACATTCAAAAGTACAATGTGTGCCGCCCTCTTTGAAAACTTTGCGAACTCCCTCCTCAAACACACAAGTCCCCCCCCCCCCCCCCCCAAACACACACGCCCCTTTAATTTGCTTTCTTTTTCTTTCTGTCAGGCGCAGATCACACACACGTACACACACACACACACCCCTCTGTTGCTCAGCTCCCTCCCTGGGGTTGCCTCTCCCGCCCCGCAGACTCTCGGGTTACTGTGTAACTCTAGATATGGGCAGGGCCTGCAGCACGGGCCCATGCAGGCCCGGCTCAGCGTTCTCACCAACCGGGGCAGCTCAGCCTGGATTTGCATGTTTGTAATTTTTTGGCTGCGAAATGTATGAAAATTGGATATGAGGAATATTAAGGAGAAAATTTGATTTTCACACTGCTCAAGGATTTATATTTCCCACAAACATTTGATGTCAAGAATCAGTTTCTGACCATGTGTCTCTCTTGCCACACTGAAGACTTTGCAGTATTTAATCATTAATATTATAATTCATAGGTGTGCATTCCTGAATTAATTCTCCAATAGCTGGCACTTATCACCTTGTTCTTGAAATCTCTGGCAACTTTCTGACTCCAGCTTCTGTGTTTCCTTGCCAATAGTTCCCCCCCAAAAATGGATTTGTCAGCCAACATTGGCCTCATTATCTTCTCAAGTTACTTCATTAACTTTGTCATTGATTTCCCTCCAAAGACCACTAAATCTGCCGTTACTCACAAACAAATTAATAATCGCAGTTCCTTCTTGTGCGGCCCGTTTATTAAATATGTTATTGATATTTTAGACTGAAAGAGGACACATCATTTATCAGGCCTGCCAAAGCGGATTAGTTTTGGGACGGAGAGAAAAAGCACAACAGTTTCAGTTGGAGGGAAATTAGGATTTGCCTGGCTTCACAGAACGCCCTGACATGGCTGAATCTAAGAAAAATAATACAGGATAATGATGAGGCTGTTTTCTCTCTGACGTTTGGAATCAATGACAAACTTTTGTGTTCCAGTGTTGTTTTATAATTAGCTCTCTACTGCCCTCTTTGGAGTAAAAATAATATTTCCCCTGCCTAGCTGTTAGTCCTTTCTGAGTGCTTACACACTGTGACTCTTGAAGCACCATCTCTGAAACCATTAACTTTGTGCCAAACTGAATGCACATTCTCTGCTTTACTCACAGTTTGTAATTTCATAACACACTTCCAATAAAACTGTGAACACAACTCACTGCATTACACTCAGGTTGTTGTTTAACATTAGTCTCTACATTGCGACACTATTTTGCCAATTGTCCTGGCACATTAAAACACTTTCAGATAATGAGTTCACTTACAAATTAGAGCCTGAGCACCATAAATATGCCACAGAAAAACATTTGGAGAACGATAGAGGCCAATGTGGGGCAGAGAGATGTGAATGAAGTCTCATGGCCAGACCCACAATAAAGTCCAGATTTACTTTAATTGAACTGAATTGAATTTTATTTTGTTTGATTTAATTTTATTTAATTTAGTTGATTTTATTTTACCTTATTTTATTTCATTTGATTTCAATTTAGTTTAATTTAATTTAAATGATCTTTATTTTACCTTAGTTACTTGAATTGAATTGAATTTTATTCTATTTAATTTTGTTCAATTTAATTCAATTTGATTTAATTTCATTGATTTTATTTTACCTTATTTTATTTTATTTCAATTTAGTTTAATGTGATTTTGTTTAATTGATTTTATTTTATTATTATTATTATAATAAATAGTAATTATTTATTTTCTAACAGAAATGTCTTTTTTTTTCTTCTGCTGCTCTTTAGCTGTTTGAGCAGTGTTAAAGAAACAGTGTGTACGATTTAGGGGGATTTAGTGGCATCTAGTGGTGAAGATTGCAGATTGCAACCAGCTGAAACTTCTCCCTGTTAGGATTCCTTCAGTGTTCATTGCTCAGGAGGTTTTTACTGGGAACTGAATTATCCGCAGAGGTCCCTTCATATTCAAAACAGAGAGACTCTGTGATTTAAACATATAAAAACACTGAATAAATTAGTTTCATGTTACAAAGCAGTGTTTATCCCACACTGTTCAGCACCTGCATGTGTGCTCACACTTTCTCTCTGATAACTTAATGTGTGCTCACCAAAATCTCTGATGTATGGAGGGGCAAGGTCATTTAAAGCTTTATAAACAAGTAAAGCAACTTTAAATCAGTTCTAAAATATACAGTTAGGCAGTGTCGTGACTTCAGCAGTGGGGTCCTTGTTTTAGTCGACACTCTGGCTGCAGCATTCTAGACTAGCTGTAGTTTTCTTATTGACTTTTTGAGTAGTCCAGTGAAAAGAGAATTGCAGTAGTCTAAACAGCTGGTAATAAAAGTGTGGGTGAGAGTTTCGGCATCTTTCTGGGTTAAAAAAGTTCTGTTCCGAAGACAAAAAAAGGATGTTTTGATGACCGTGTTAAAATGAGAAATCGGAGTCTAAAACCACTCCCATGTTAGTAATATCAGTTATAATGTGCTTGCTCAGGCCAACAAACATTGAGTGCAGTTTTTCTCCTGTTGCTTTTGGTGCAATTAAAAGAATCTCTGTTTTTTTCTTCATTTAGCTTTAAAAAGTTTTCCATTCATGTATTTATTTGACACCATTTCTTTGTCCATAAGCTACTTAAAGTGTAGGCATTCATTTACACAATCTCTGCTGCCACCCAGTGGTTAGTCAGGAGCACTAAGCACCGCCATATGGAATGGATTACAAACTAATGTGAGTGTGTGAGTGCCTGAAGTGATGTAGGTCAAATGGTAATTGAACTGATAATGGTACTGAAAGCTGTGAGAGGATTAGGAAAGAATGCACCCTGTAAAACTGACAGGAATGATTACATTAAGCAGAGCCACGATATATAAGAACATACTGCAAAGCTTAGGTTCTGTGTTTTTACACATGTGCATGTACAGTACAGAGTGGGGCAATGTGTGTCTGGAGGTGGAGGTATGCACGACTGTTTCTGTTGTGTGTCTTCGCACGATAAAGTCCAACTTTCATCCTGAAAAGAATGAGGAAAATGACTCAGAGTGTCAGACACATGTTGTGTATCATGCACAAAGAGAAAATGTGTTTTTGTTGTGTTTTTTTCAGATTGAACAAAACAGATTTTTTTTCTCTCTGTAGATAGCTTTACACATGTTGCATTAATTTGTCTGGATTTGGCTGAGATCTGCCTCCACATGGAATGAATTCATGTCTGGACACTTTTTTTCCTCCTCTCCTCTCCTCTCCTCTCCTACAGTAAGGTCATGTAAACTCAATCCACGGACTCCTTCTTATTTAGCCGTGCACAGATTAGTCAGCACAAAGTTCAAGCAGAGGTCAGGCAGAGGCCCACTGTTACCTCCACACGCTGACTAGATACCATTAAGGGCATTGTGCTCCTTGGATGTTATCTACTGTTTGATTTTAATGACAAAAAGTATTGATCATATTGGCAGAAAAGTCTCTATCACGACACACTATGACTCAAATCATTTAGTCAATCACACACAGAAGGTGCAAAAAAGCACTGTCTCAGTAGCTAGATATGCGTGTTTTGAAGTGGTATTTTACAGTGGCCTTGAGGATCAAAAAAAATAATAATTCAGAAAACAGCACAACAATTACAACACACCACATTTCACAAAACACAAAATTGACAAGACACGACATTTCAGAAAACACTACTACATTCCGGTTTAAGTCTCACCAAATGCCACCACATGTTGTGTTATGTGAAATGTTGTGTTTTATAAGATTTTGTTTTGTGAAAAGATGTGTTTTGTGAAATTTCTTTGTATTTTGGGAAACGTCGTGTTTTGTGAAATGTTGTGTTTTGTAAAATGTTGTGTTTTGTGAAATGCCATCCTATTTTGAGAAATGTCATTGTTTTGTGAGATGTTCTTTGGTGAAATGTCGTTTTTTTCTGAAATGTCGTGTCGTTTTGTAAAATGTCAGTGTTTTGTGAAATGTCATTGTGTTTTGTGAAATGTGTTTTGTAAAATGTCAGTGTTTTGTGAAATGTCATTGTGTTTTGTGAAATGTGTTTTGTGAAATGTCACGTCGTTTTGTAAAATGTCAGTGTTTTGTGAAATGTGTTTTGTGAGATGTCACTGTGTTTTGTGAAATGTGTTTTGTGAAATGTCGTGTTTTGTGAAATGTCGTTGTGTTTTGTGATACGTCATTGTTTTGTGAAATGTCATTGTGTTTTGTGAAATGTGTTTTGTAAAATGTCAGTGTTTTGTGAAATGTCATTGTGTTCTGTGAAATGTTGTGTTTTATGAAATGTTGTGTTTTGTGAAAGGTCATGTTGTTTTCTAAAATGTCAGTGTTTTGTGAAATGTGTTTTGTGAAATGTCATTGTGTTTTGTGAAACGTCGTGTTTTGTGAAACATTGTTTTGTGAAACGTGTTTTGTGAAATGTCGTTGTGTTTTGTGTAATGTCATGTTTTGTGAAATGTGTTTTGGAAAATGTTGTGTTTTGGAAAATGTCATGTTTTGTGAAACATGTTTTGTGAAATCTCTTTGTGTTTTGTGTAATGTCATATTTTGTGAAATGTGTTTTGTGTAATGTCATGTTTTGTGAAACGTCGTGTTTTATGAAACGTGTTTTGTAAAATGTTGTGTTTTGTGAAACGTCATGTTTTGTGAAAAGTCGTGTTTTGTGAAACGTCATTGTTTTGTGAAACGTGTTTTGTGAACGTTGTGTTTTGGGAAATGTCATTGTTTTGTGAAACTACGTGTTTTGTGAAATGCTGTTGTGTTTTGTGAAACATTGTGTTTTGTAAAATGTTGTTGTGTTTTGTGTAATGTCGTGTTTTGTGAAACGACGTGTTTTGTGAAATGTTTGGTGAAATGTCATTGTTTTGTGAAACGTGTTTTGTGAAATGCTGTTGTGTTTTGTGAAATGTCATGTTTTGTGAAACGTGTTTTGTAAAATGTTGAGTTTTGTGAAACGTCATGTTTTGTGAAAAGTTTCATTATTTTGT